CTCCCCTCAGCCTCCTCTGCTCCAGGCTGAACCCCCCCAGCTCCCCCAGCCGCTCCCCAGCAGCCTGGGGCTCCAGACCCCTCCCCAGCTTTGTGGCTCTCCTCTGGACATGTTCCAGCAATGCACCGTCTCTCTTGTAGCAAGGGGCCCCTGCTCGCCCGGCCTGGGGCACAGCAGCGGTGGGAGCGTTGCACTCACAAGCCGAACGCTAACTAGCTGGAAATAATAACCAGCGAAGACGTTTAGGAGCTGAGTGGGGCCCTAGGACAATAAGGGATGGTTGATGGTAGCTCTTTTGCTGCCATCTGCGCATATTGACAGTAAAGCTGACACCAGCAGTCAGAATCACAGCCTTGCAAAGACCCCTTAGATGTGATTTTCCACTTTTGCAAATTTAATTAGCTCTGTTCCCCTCAAGCAGCACAATACCAAAATGTTTTTCCAGGTAAAGTAAGCCATTTTCTAGTTAAGGAAGTGGAGAGAACATTAAAGCAAAAAAGCATGCCTAAATTAAAACTGTTATTCTAATTTTATACATGGACATTTTGGCAGTTGCCTCTTCTCCAAAAGGAACAATCTGTTTGTTTAGTGCCATAATTCATGGGCTTCTAAACCAGAACGCTGATGGATGGATTCTTGAAAGTTGGAGTTTAATCTAAATCCCCACGCCTTTCTCTGGATCTACCAGGCTGGCTTAAGTTTGGACGGTAACAGTCATCGTTTCTTTTTCAAGAACAAGCTCTTGTGACCTCTGGTTCTCCTCGCCCACAGCTGGAGGGGTCACAGGGCTCTTGCATTTTTGGGAGGGGGACATTTTGCGTTACAGGAGAGCACTGAACAAAATTGTAAGGAAAGGAACTGGAAGAAGAAGAAGGAGGAGGAAGAGCAATGTGATAATGACACATAGTCCAGAGGCACCTCCTGAGGGAACCTTCCCTTTTCTTTCTCCAGAAATCAGAGCTGGCTGCCATGGGTTTGGGCTGAAGCAGTGGCTGAGCGCGGCAGGGGCAGCAGCTCTGAGCACCCCGGTTAAGCCGCTTGTTGAAATGACAACTTTGGGACGGCTGTAGCCGACCCCGGGGTGTTCCCAGGTGACAAACCCACACCGAGGCACAGATAGCAGCGTGCTGCGCAGCCTGGAGCACCCTGTTCAAGGTCTGGGATTGAGCCGGGAAAGCCATCCCTTCGTGCTGGTACGTGTTGATTTCTGCATGAAGGGAATCATAGAATCTTTTAGGTTGGAAAGCCCTTTAAGATCATCAAGCCCAACCGTTCCCCCAACCCTACCATCCCACCACTAAACCCTGTCCCTAAGTTTAATGTCCTTAATCTTTGTGCTGTTATTGCAGCCCAGTGTCTGGTTTCCAGAACAACCTGGTGACAGAGTTATTCTTTTGGTTAATTGTGCTATCCAAATAGAAATGTATGGATCTGATTTTCTGCTGTTAGGATGCAGAAGATTAATCATACCAGCATACAAATGACAAGACTGAGCAATGACTCAGCTATCGTACCAGCAGCTCAGACTGCCTTTCCCAGCAAGAAAATGCTTCACGTACCCCATGACACCATCCCGACACGCAGTTTTCCTGGGGTCCTGAATTTCCCAATGCTGTGATGTCTGCCCCCAGTTTGTGGTGAATAAAGTGATGTGGACTGACCAGTTATTCCATATATCATCTCAGTGGTAGCATTAATACCTTCCCCGTTTGGTGGTGTAATATTTTACATGCAAAACACATCTGAGGCTCAGAAGGCCTTACTAAGCCTTACTTCTGAGCCTTACTAAATCCTTACCAGGCTTTGGGAAAACCAGTCCTTGTAGGGAGGGTGCCTCCTGCACCGAGCTGCTGATGGGAAGAGGCAGATGAAGAATCACCCTCGAATCCATGAACTCAAACCAGCTCCTCTCCAAAACAGCTCTTCTCTGCCATGTCCAGAAGGTGCGGAGCAAGAGTCATTCATCCAGATGCTGGAGATGCTCAACAGAAATGCTCCTCAGACGAGCTGGTGGCTCTGTGCAGTTCTAAGGTACAAGAAGAGCAATTTGGCTGTTAAGGCTGACCTCCTGAGCACATAGCTTACCATTTCATCTCACGAGCTGGACTGAAGCTTGTCTTTCACAGCAACACCTCACCTGGGTTTCAGGACTCCAAGTGATAACAGTTCCTTGCTCAGAAGCCGCTCTCCCTAATTACCTTCTCACCTAGGATAAGGAAGCTTTCAAAGCCACGTATTTCTATTCCAGCCTTCCCTGGGGGATCTTGTTAGGACATCCCCAGCAATAGAGCAATGCGCTTCTGCCATCAGGTATC